ATTCCAACAGCAAGATTTTTACTGCACCCCACTCGCTTTTCAAACTAGCTACGTTCACAAGCTGCTTTTGTACGCACTTTGGAAACCCTTTACAACGACGTTTGCTGCCTAACCGAAACCCGTTTACAAGACTCCAGCAAAACGCTGCGATTGCTCTCATCATCCTAAAGTTCCCAATGCACATTCACCTTGCGCTTATCTGAAAAATTTACCGTCAAACTTCGGGCAGCGTGCGAGTATGCGGAGACCTTTCCTCCCCTTCAGTATCACTAATGTTGTTATACATGGTTGATCAGCCTCTCCACTCTTGTTCAACTTTGCCATGGACGAGATCCTGGAAACTGCCCTGGAAAACTCTGAGTCTTGCGGAGTTGAAATGCTCCCGGGTGACCGCCTTCGAGACTTGGAGTACGCTGATAACATCGCTGGGATTTGTGAGTCCTCCAAGGCCGCCCAGCAATTGCTGCTTATACTGGAGATGTCCGCCTCCCAATTTCAGTTGATATTTGCCCCTTCCAAAGGTAAGGTCCTGTTACGGCACCAAGTGCATCACTTTCTCTCACCCTTTCGTGGCATACGCTGGATGTGGTCGACAAATTCATTTAACTTGAGAGTTGTTTTAGTATTGGCGGTTTTACGGATGAGATCTTCTTGCATGTCTTCAAGGCTAGAGTATTATTCGCTAAACTTCGTCACCTGTGGCTTCGTCGTGACCACAGCCTTGCTTCCAAGAGACGAGACTACAGTACTGCGGTACGAGCGATTCTGCCGTACGGCTGTGAGACTCGGCCTGTTCTCAAAGTGATGTTCAGCGGCTATCTTCAAACGCTGCTACCTTCGAAGCATTGCTGGTGTGCGAAGGCAGCATCACATCAGGAAGGAGGAAGTCCGTCGGCGAGTCTTCACATCTGACTAACGCTGCCGACCGATCGACAGCATCATCTCACGGCGGAGGCTTCGCCGGCTTGGGCATGTGCTTCGCATTCCTTCCCAGCGGCTACCACGGCGTGCCCTATTTGCGAGCATCGGCGTGGGATGGAAGCGACGACAAGGAGACCAGTGCAAAACTTGGATCCGATGCGTTAAGGCGCAAACTTCGAAGCTGGCTATTGTTGGTCATTCCCGACTCCCGGGTTGGAGACCAAAGGACCCGGAGCACACCTGGTTGCAAACGCTGGAGGATATGGCCAAGGACTGTATTCAATGGCGCACTTGTTGTGAGACAGTTCTTTAACTGAAATTTTCCGTTTCAATCTATTTTCGTTATGTCGCTGTGCCCGCAAACGACCGGTTGATTCACGCCTGCTGCTAAATCTGCGCCCTTACGCCTGCTCCATTTGACGCCTTGACAAACCCGACAGGAAGGAAGACAGAAGAAGTCTCAGCAGACCAGAGTTGTATTAGGACAGAGAATGCTCATATTTATATGTCGGTCTCACCAACCCTCCAAACATCACCAGGCGGATTTTGCTGTAAGCCTACGCTCCACACTTGATTGTCCGTTCCGTCTGTCCAGTTCACCGTCTTGTTCAGGCACTCCAGTCTTCGTCCGCCTACCCGGTGCATGGCAATGCACGTGAGGTCTGATGCGCGATTTCACCAGCTTTCGGCTGGGCCCTGGCAACACGCTCGAAGGATCTTTCCCAAGCACGATTTGTGACAAACATGCGCGCGCTGGTAATCAGCTTTCTCGCCCAGCTGTCAAATTTTTCGCTCTTATGTGTTTTGGCACTAACGCAATTGTCGTGTAGTTGGATGCATTATCCGATTTATTTTATTTCACCTTGTCGTTTCAAGTGAATGGCTGTAGCTTGATATCCCCGGTGTGGCTGCGCTTGATGTGCATGTTGACAAGGTGCCTACCTGTCTATTACCCACTACCTCGTCCATACTGGCTCCAGGAGACAGTTGGCCGTTGCTGGATGGGACGGGGTGCACGGTCCTTGTGGCCGTGCTAGGCTCGAACAGTGGTTCCATGCACTCAGTGTGGAACGGACTACGGTCCAGCCACCGCCTTGTGTGCGCTTGATTCCCCAAATACAGTGTGCTTGTGTTTGCCTGTGAAGGAGTGTGGGCCGGCTCCGTTGATGAAACGTGGTTCCCATCCACATGCCTCCCGGTCTTATTCCTTCGGGTTTACACTGGATATGGGGTGTGTGTGGATGGAGCTGTGGGTGGTGCAGCGCAAGCCATCCATGGTCCCTCTGTAGGCTCAGGCGTCCTGTGGCTGGCCACAGTGACAGGCAAATCCGAAACCGGATGTCGCCAACCATATATATATATATATATATATATATATATATATATATATATATATATATATATATATATATATATATATATATATATATATATATATCGGTACTGGCGTCGGCAAGCCACTCAGAAGGTTCTGCATATAGAACTTTCTCGTTCTTATGAATTTGAGATTCAGTGGGAGATGTTCACGGCCGCCATGCACAAAACAGAGCCTCTGGTTACTGCACTATCAATGGTCACAGCACCAAGTACTGGATATGCGAGAAGTCGAGGAACATGTTTGGATCCAGAAGAAAACTCCCTTCTGGCTTTCAGCACTTCGCAACCAGACGGACGATTAGACGCGAACTAAAGCGGAGCCTGTGAGCTTACATGGAAGACTGGTCGGGCTTACGAAATGGTGGAGGTGGAATCAATAGGCAATTAACGCAAGCTCTTCCAACTGCTCCGCACCAATAGTCCCAGAAAACCAGGTGTCAGTGAAACAATCAGAAACCAAGGGGTGCCCTGATTCACAATTAGTTGCACCGTATGGGTCGTTGGGTGGAAACCTTGTAGAACAGTACGGATGGTACGTTGCTTTTCTACGTCCTACTCAGATAGTGCAAGCCGAGTCATGGACGATCATTTTAGAGGCTCCGTCGCAGGCCGAGGTCCAAAACGAAATCATAGCCATTTGTCATTTTCGAGATGACAGTTCGGATTCCCTCGCACCCGCACTATATAAGCATGGCGGTGAGGTTCTCCGCAAAGCACTGGCCTCCATATTCGAACATCTCTGGAAGGAAGAGACCATCCTAGCTAAATGGAGTGATTCGATAATTGTGGAAATTTGGAGATGGGCGGCTGCAAGGACTGTGCTAGCCAAATGGGTACTGGACTAAAGCCCGTGGTGACAAAATAACTAGTCTTAATTCTTGTTTGTCGCATCAGTGCAGAACGGTAACTCCGGGTTATTGAAGAGCAAGCAGGTTTCCGCTAGGATGGGACTGTATAGACTACGACAGGTGCTAGAGCAGTGATACACGTCCCGCAGACTGTTCCTCGACTTCAAGAGTGCGTTCGACTCAGTCGTTCGATGCATTCTGTTCGAAATACTTGCGCGGAATGATATTCCCATGAAATAAGTGAACGCTTTCCAAATTCAAATCTCGTGTCAGTGACTGATGTCACTTTAGGCCGACTCGTACTTACGTGTGCAAGAAATCAGATGACTGCTACAGATTTATTCAAGGCGGACAAACTAGGGGTACTGGGAAGGTTCATTTCCTAGATATCTGTCAAATGGCGCGCGACACTTATGTGAACCCAAATGAAGGTAGTAGTCGAGGAAGTGTCATCTATCAAGCATGTGACGGTGAATTAAGCTTAAGCGAATGGTCCAACCAAGTCCCATCAAGCCTCATATATGTGGTGGAAATGTGAGCTTAGATATGGGTGTTGTGTCGGAGCCCCACGACTGCTTCCACCCACTAACGGTAGTGAGAACACCAACGACCAGGCAACAAACAATGTTCACGCCGCACGCCAAACCGGTCACCAAGCGTCTGTGTGTGCAACTCAATCACATGATTCAAATTAGGGCATATACACAGACTATGCAGAAAGGCTGACAATCAATCAATCAAAGTTAGTCAGTGAAGGGGCGAAGCATCGATACGGTGTCTCACGAAGGAGTGAAATGTACAGGGTAAGGGAAAAGCTATTAAGCATAAGATTCAGTGTCAACCCAAGCTAGTCACAAATGTGAGGCAACAGAAAACGTATGTGGGGAACCGTAAAAGAGCACGGGGTGAGTGGAATAAAACTCACAAAACAACGGGGAGTGGTGGAATATTTTTACCTCCGCTTTAACGATGGGTATTGACGATGCTCACGGGTTAACTGCTGATCAAAAGAAACAGCATAGAATTGTCTGTGTCAGTAGGTGTGGCGACAACACTGCACGTGCTGGCTGTGTCACTTGCCGTGTTCTTCCTTGGCGCAGGTTTTGGCTACTATAGCAGATAGGCAAACCAATGCGGAGCGCATATGGGCGGAAGTCTTTTTATTTCCCCCATATTGCATTTGCTCGTCTCAAAAGAGCACTTATTTTGCATGAGGCAAATGAGTGACGAATGAATCAATGAAAGCCAGATACTTTCACATGTCGAGCCAAATTTAAGTATAGAACTAAACTGGATCTACACTGTATCTCAGCGTGAGTCCCATTCAAATGCTATAAATTTCCGCGTTTGGCCTCGAACAGTCTTAGTCTAAGTTGGGTCGCATCAGACTCAACTGACCTGCACCCATAGCAACCTTTGGGCATAAGTTTGCTAAAGCACAGTTGGAGTATCCTTAAGTGGCTAATTCGTGCACGGTATTTTATGCTTTCAGGGGCAGAGACTTTGATTGATCGAAGGTCCCGTTTATTCTATTTTATCGGAGACTGTAGCGAAACTGCGCACTTCACGTCAGTGCATCCATAGTCGAAGTGCTGCTTACCGAGTAACGAAGAACGAACCTTCGTACCATTAACTGAAAGTTCCTGGAAATCAGCTTTACCTGGCTGGTAAAACTGAAGTTTGTTTTAACCGGCCGCCTTCTCATTTCTCATTGCTCAATTCCAAGCCTTTTTCAGTTAGCAGCCAAATGCAACTGATCGTCAAGTGATTATACGTGAATCTAAACTGTGAATGGTTTCACCTATAAAAGCAATGTGATTTGCAGAACCCACGTGGCGGCGCACAAGGTGTTTAAAGAATTGCTCAGTATATTTAAGAGGTCTGTTCAAGAAAACAATCAGATTTACCAATGGAAACGGTTCACAAGTCGTACTGTGATCGCGATCGGTTCAAGTTTGAACGGCGTGTCTGTTCGCAAAGGTCAAACAACAGACGTTCTCTCGCGTGTTCACTCTGGTGTTTGAAATGCTGAAGAAAAGAAGAATGAATGATATCCGAGTAACTTGAGTTGTTGACTAAAATGTTGTGAAAATAGTAGGCTATTAGAATTCTCCGTTAGCATTTATAAGAGGAAACCGCACGCGAAATCAGCAATGATCCTGGCGCATATATGCGTCGGAAATAAGTATAATCCAATGAGTTCATGGTGCGTGCTGGTTGTAGACGGTTGCTTTACTTTATCAGAAAGTAGGATTATATATATATATATATATATATATATATATATATATATATATATATATATATATATATATATATATATATATATATAGGTGACCTATACTCCAACGTAGCGAGGGATATAGCCACAAGTAAGCCGTTTATCCAGATATGATTATGCTATAACAAAATAGAATTACAATTATCAAGTCGTTCATCTCGTCATTCCTTACATGGTCTCTAATGGCGTGCAAATCCTCTTTGATTTGGAGTAATCCTTGAGAAACTTCAGCTAATTGAGACACAAGTTGCTTGTATTCAGAGGATGCTTGAGGTTGTGAAGTTTCTGCACTCGACAGAGACATTGCACACTTCCTGGGTATCCATTTCAGATCCTTTTGCTGTTAGTTAAACAAAAGTAAAAGGAGGTTATGTTTAAGAGGCGTAAAGAGTACGCTAAAACATGTTAAATATTAAGATGACATGGCTTGTGACACCTGTTGTATACGTAAGGTCAAAACGCACGAGCAAGTTAAAAGGTCATTCTGATAAACGGACTGCTGTAATCTAATCCATGTCTAACTGGGTGAGTACATAAAAGTGTCACAAGGAGAATGATGAACCAATAGGGAAGCAGAGAATTGGACGCTTTGTATATGTGTGTGTGTGTGTCTGGAGTTGTGTGCACCTGTCTGTTTAGACTAGGTCAAGAATGCTGACAGAATACACAACATCACCTCTCCGCCTAATCGTTTGATACGTCAAATCCATATCGATTCGGTCGTGTTTGTTCTCGGCCTGTCCTGCGGAGCTGCGGGCCTTGCGTGGTTGCGTGCGTGAAGGTTGGTGGCATATGCTCCGTTCGTCTGATACTTGTGAATAATCTCCGGGCGTTGACTGTGCGGCCATCCTCCAACCGGTAAGTTCCTGGCCCACATGCACGCGTTATTCTTATCGGATCTGATAACGTGGGCTGTCCTTTTGATGCAGTGTTGACCTTCACGCGCACGTATGTTCCGGGCTGGAGCGGAGTAGTGTGCTGCCGGTAAGTGGTCTGATATCGATGGCGACGATCTAACTCGTCGGAATTATTGGTTGCAGGAATAGAAAGTGCGGCATTCAACTTTGTCCGAAGCTCACGCCCAAGCATGAGTTTAGCTTGCGTTTTGTCTGTAGCTCGGTGGTGTGCGGTTCGGTAAGAAAATAGTGCTTGTAGTACTGCATCCTCCCAACCTGTACCAGATAAGCGAATAGTTTGAATACTCTCTTTCAAGGATCGATTGAACCGCTCTACCATGCCATTTGCCGCTGAATTGTACGGCGTTGTACGTGAGTGCCGGATAGCGTGAAGTTGAAGGAACGAATGAAACTCGTGGCTTGTAAACTGCGGCCGGTTGTCCGTCACTATCTCCTCTGGAAATCCGAAACGGGAAAACATATATTTCAGCCATCGAATAATGCTGGCAGTAGTCACCTCTCCACACAAATGGACTTCCGGCCACTTACTGTAAAAGCAGGTCGCCACCAAACAGTTCCTTTGATGCTGAGGCGCTGAGCTAAATGGACCCATGATGTCAACAGCTATCTTGGCCCACGGTCGCATAGGATAGTCAATGGGTTGTATAGGGGATGAAACCGGCCTTGAACTCTTGTCTGCCCTTTGACATGAAGAGCAGTCATGAACAAGTTTTTCTATTTCGCGTGTCATTTTGGGCCACCCGAAGTATGCATCAACCTTGCGCTTCGTACGAACGATACCAGGGTGGCTTTCGTGAGCACATAGCATGATCTTTTGTATCAAGCTCCGAGGAGCCACAAATTTCTCGCCACGCATTAAGCATCCATCTATAAATGAAAGTTCGTGACGCAATACGTAGTACGGACGAACCTCGCCTGTGATCTTGTTATTTTGTGGCCAACCGTTTAGCAGAAACCCCTGAACGTGGCAGAGTGTCTCATCTTCCTGAGTCGCCTTCTGGAGTTCTTCCTTAGTCAGGGCTGAGATTGGTTCATTACTCAGGGAAGACACCATTAACCTCTCATTATCATCCTCATTATTTTCAGTTTCGTTGAGGGGCAGTCGAGAGAGCCCATCCGCTACCTGATTTTCGCGTCCGGGACGGAATTTAATTTGAAAATCGTATGTTAACAATCGTGCATACCAGCGATGTATCCGAAGTGGCCTGATGCCATTTGTTCCCCGAGTAAGTAAACTAGTTAGCGCTGCGTGGTCTGTACGAAGAGTGAAGGGTCTTCCGAACAAGAACAAATTCCACTTCTCACAGGCCCAAACACAGGCAAGGGCTTCTTTTTCCCCGGCAGAGTAAGAAAGCTCAGCCGCCGACAATTTTCTGGAAGCGTATGCAATAACTCTTTCATGCCCATTTTGAATTTGAGATAGTATGGCCCCCAACCCAATGTTTGATGCATCAGTAGAGACAATCGTTGGGCAGGTCTCGTCGAAAATCGCCATAACTGGTGTGGAAGCAATGCGGCGTTTTATTTCGTCAAATGCCTTTTGTTGGGGTGGACCCCAAACAAATACACTTTTCTCCTTTGTCAGTTCACGCAGTGGCTCAGCAATATTCGTGAAATCCTGCAGGTAACGTAGGTTGTAAGAACACATACCTAGAAAATGCTTTATTTCGGTGGAGTTCTGTGGGCAAGGAGCCTCGGTGATGGCACGTGCGTTTTCAAAACTCGGCTTCATACCGTCATTTGTTATAATGTGGCCCAGGAACTCGATCTCATTAGCATTAAATTTGCACTTCTCGAGGTTTAATCTGAGGTTAAGATCGTGTAGTCGACGTAACACAGCGTGCAGTCGTGAATCATGTTCTTCTGGAGTCCTACCGAATACACAAATGTCGTCCATGTATACTATTTGACCAGGTAAATTGGCAAATGAGTGAACCATAAACTTTTGCCAAGCTGCTGGAGCTGAACTCAAGCCCATTGGCAAGACTTTGTACTGAAAGAGTCCGTCCATAGTGAGAAATGCGGTCAGCGGTCTTGACTCCTTAATTAGAGGCATGTGAAAGAAAGCCTTCCTAAGGTCCAATTTTGAAAAGTATCGGGCGCCAGCTAGTTTAACTATTAGTTCATCCGCGGTTGGAAGCACAAACTTTTCTACCACGATTTGCCGATTTAGAGCCTGCAGATCATTGCATATTCTTACTGTACCGTCCTTCTTGAGGACTGTAACTAAAGTGTGGACCCATTCAGAACAGTTAAGGGGTTCAATGAGATCATCTGCAATCATTTGCCGTAATGCTAACGAAACAGCCTCTCTTCTGGCCAAAGGAATTGGACGTGGATGAGCAATAGCTACCGGTTTAGCATCCTGCTTCAGACATATGCGGTGAACGGAAGACGGAGCGCGCCCTATTGTTTGTTCAAATAATTTCGGGTACTGTATCTGTAGGCCTGATAGGTTAATTGCCATGATACGCATACGAGCTAGGGACGGCGTGACTCCCAGTGCAACCATAGCGTTGCGTCCGAGTAAGGGACGGTTATTTCCGCGGGTAACGTACACAGCAACTGATGATTTCACGACGCCAGTGTTGTATACGTAAGGTCAAAACGCACGAGCAAGTTAAAAGGTCATTCTGATAAACGGACTGCTGTAATCTAATCCATGTCTAACTGGGTGAGTACATAAAAGTGTCACAAGGAGAATGATGAACCAATAGGGAAGCAGAGAATTGGACGCTTTGTATATGTGTGTGTGTGTCTGGAGTTGTGTGCACCTGTCTGTTTAGACTAGGTCAAGAATGCTGACAGAATACACAACAACACCCGCTTTTGGATTTGCCTATCACTGTGGCCTCCACGGGCACAGCGGCAGTGCGCCTGCGCCTACGGAAGGACCATGGGTGAGTGCGCTGCACCACCCACAGCTCCATCCACACACACCCCATATCCAGTGTAAACCCGAAGGAATAAGACCGGGAGGCATGTGGATGGGAGCCACGTTTCATCAACGGAGCCGACCCACACTCCTTCACAGGCAAACACACGCATGTTGTACTTGGGAATCAAGCACACACAAGGCGGTGGCTGGACCGTAGTCCGCTCCACACTGAGTGCATGGAACCACTGTTCGAGCAAAGCACGGCCACAAGAACCATGCAACCCGTCCCCTCCAGCAACGACCAACTGTCTCCTGAAGCCAGTATAGACGAGGTAGTGAGTAACAGACAGGTAGGCACCTTGTCAACATGCACATCAAACGCAGCCACACCTGGGATGTCAAACAACAGCAAATCACTTGAAATAAAAATAACAAATAAGACATATCGAGCATACCGAAATGCTGATGTAAATCTATGCTAAATGAGCATATGAAATAAATTGGTTGCATACAAATCCGCGATAAGTGCAAGATGTCAGAAGGTATACTGTTTTAAAAATCCCACAAATGTAAAATGTTAGCGAACTTATCTACAATTAGCTTAAGCAGCGTGTGCAATTTCAGATAAACGTTGAGGTCACAAAAAGCCATATATTGAGACACGATAGCAAACCCACCACCTGAAATACAGAATCGCAGCAAGCAAGCACGCGGTTAGTAAATCGAATGCATCGTACCTACCAATGCTGTGCCGGTTCTGCTTACGTTCTCAGCAGGACCAGTCGTCGTTACGATGCTGGTCCAGAGTGACCTTGCTCGTGGCTCACTAGGTCTGCCTGACTCAGGCAGGTGCGTGTGTGTTCGCATGTGGTAACAAATTTCAAGGGAATGAATGGACATATTTCGAGAAGCAAATTCGTAATCTAGGAAGTCTGGAGTTGAATCTAAAATGTTGTAACACATCAGGTTGCGGCAGAAAGGGTGCAACTAACGCTGGACTTCCCAAAGTGAATAGCGGTCTCTATTGAGATTGCGGTTTGCACCCAAGCAGGCAACAAGTGCTTCAAAATGATCCACTAATCAGTCATGAACCGTTGTGAACGGCATTGTCTGTCGTTTAGGGTTAGGCGCTTTGGCTAGCATCGCAATGCCCCAGGTTTGATGCCTTATGTCTACTCGGAGTAGAAGCTCCGGCTGAGACCCCAACTTCCTGAATTCAAGCTGCATTCCTCCCATCTTCACACGATGAGTGCAAAAGAGTACGAAACCGGTCATGTAGTGCGGAGTGTTGGTGAGGTACAGCACTAGACATGCATTTCCGTATCCGGTGACTGAATCGATCCAAGTCCACTACAAGGTGAATTTCGGTCCGGATTGTGGTCGCATCTCGAAACGCGTTCGCACCATGAATGTTTCAAATTGACAGCGCTAAAAAGCAATACCTAATTGCATTTTAATCTAAAAGTCCATGGTGTTTCATTTGGAGATGCTTCCCCACAAAGCACGCTTACATATTGGTGACCATGACAAATGCACGACGTCACG